CCCTAAACCCTAATCCTTAAAACCCTAAACCCTAATTAAGCCCTAAACCCTAAACCCCCAAACCCTAAACCCTAAAACCCTAAACCCTAATTAAACTCTAAACCCGGAGGCCCCAAGCCCGAATTGTTAAGATCGAAATTCTGAAGCCCTGGCCTTTAAGTCCAGACCCTAAAAGCCAGAAGTCGCCCCCGAGCTCTGCAAGGTTTTTTTGACATGAGCCTGAGTACCTGCAAGCTGTGCAACTTCGAGTCCGGGACCAAAAAACGCCAATTCGGCCACGTCTGCGACCTGACGGACGACATGGTCCGCCTCAGCCTCTACCCGGAGCGGCTGCCCAAGGTCACGAAACGCGACAAGCGGCGCGGACGCAAGGCTTCTCTACTCAGCCGCTTGGCCGAAGAGCAGTCGGCAAAGGCGGCGACGCCCGGCGACAGCGAACCACCCGTGAAGATCATGGCCATGGCCAAGGCCAGCACATCCTCCGAGAAACCAAATCGCTACTTCATCCGCTCCAAGAGTTCCTAAACCCTTTGAAGACCATGATCTCTTTTAACTAGGGTGCCTTAAGGGTATATATAGGGTATATAGTAGGTATATTAGGGTCCCAGGGTTAAGGGCCCATACTAGGGGCCCATGGGTTCTACCTTAGAATGATGCAAGGCTCCGGGGAGTTTCAGAACTTCGGGCTCCCCGGGAACCGAAGTAGTTAGATCCTCGAGAAGAGGACGCCGGAAAAAGGTTTAGGGTTCGGGGTTTAGGGCTTAGGGTTTTAGGGTTTAGGGTTTAGGGTTTAGGGTTTAGGGTTTAAGGTTTAGGGTTCAGGGTTCAGGGTTTAGGGTTTAGGGTTTAGGGCATCCCCTTACCCTAAACCCAGAACCGCATCCGACGGGTATGCTGACGGGAAGACCTAAAAGTATCCCCAAAACATGAAACAATGGGCGGATGAGTAGTATAACCACAATGTGTATGAGGATGGGAGGCTCTGTACCAAATAGATCCTGAAGGGTGTCTCCAGGGAATACCCATAGGCTCCATAATAGTTCCTTTTGGAGATTACCTTGTAGGATCCTAAATACAAGCCACAAAAAGGAACTACAATGAAGCCTTTGGGTATAGGCTTGAATATCAATCCAGCATCGTGATTCAGAGTTTTTGTTTTCTAGAAGTGCGGTTACCGATGTTGCAATGTTTCTCAGTGCTCCGATCGTATATTGGCTTGCCTGTATATAGGACCTCGAGACAGTGATGCACTACGTATGTAGATAGTTGTTCTACCAGGCCCGGGGTTTCTGGGCTTACCGGAACCTACTTCTCTGGTTTGTTGATTGTGACTTCCATGTACACGTCCCTAGAAAAGTAGGGACTTCTAAAGGGCCCAAGCAGTGTTTAGAGGTCGGCACGGTTCTGCACCCAATGGCCGATACCTCTTACCTCAAACCCGTATACAAACACTCTGCTTCTGCCAGATACTCGGAACGAAGTTTTTATTATTACTATACTACGGTATCACTATTATTCGTACAATTTTTTTTACTATTATTACTACTATTATAATTCGTATTACTGTTATTTTGCTTTTAGTTCGTACTACTCATATTTCTATGCTGATTACGAACATTCGTTCCCCTAAACCCTAAACCCTAAACCCTAAACCCTAAACCCTAAACCCTAAGCCCTAACGTTTCTTTTTATAAGCTCGACGCCGAAGCTTGAAGGGCCCAAAGCTCGGGAGATGCGTGCGGCGTACTTAAAGGGTCATGGGACTTAGTAACGGTTTAGGGTTTAGGGGTTTAGGGGTTTAGGGGTTTAGGGGTTTAGGGGTTTAGGGGTTTAGGGTTTAGGGTTTAGGGTTTAGGGTTTAGGGTTTAGGGTTTAGGGTAGGGTTATAGCTAAGGTAACTATACCTTATATTTACTTATAACTTATAATAACCCCAGTTATGGTACTTATAACCCAATTAAGGTACTTAAAACCTATATTTACTTATAACCTATAACCTTACTTACTAGGTCCCATGATCCTCCAAGTAGATTCAGCTAGCCCTGCAGGGTGCAGGGCTTCGAGATTTGGGCGCGGCGAATACTTCCCTAAGCCTCCAGGTACCTACTATATAGGGCCCTAGGGGCTCTAGTAACCTCTATAGTAGGTACCTGGAGGATTAAGGCCTATGAGGCAAGCTTTAGGGTTCCACACATTGGGAGGCAGTTCCGTGGAATGGTTTCCGTGCACGCCCAACTCAGACAATAGGAGCTAGTGATGTGTAGGGCTTTATACGGACTCAAGGCGACCCACAAGAACGGTGCTACATTGTAAGATCTGGGTACAAGCTGGAACGTTCAGAGCCTCACCACTGCATATTCCAGGAAGTGCACGTCGTTTGGGTGGTGTTCTTCGTCTTCTTACCCTAAGCCCTATAAACCCTAAGCCCTAAACCCCTAGACCAAAAGTTCCAGGAAGTGCACGTCGTCTGGGTGGTGTTCTTCCTCTTCTTCATAGCTTTCACCTACCTGGCCGTATTGAATGCACCCAAGCTGATTCATGCAGGGGGCTTCGATCCGGTAGAGCTGAAGATCTATAATTATAGAGGTTCATGGTGGTTCTGAATGTGTAGGACCTCAACTACGAACAACAATGACGTGCAATTACGTTAAGCATGTATGCGGACGAGTGTTTATGAGGCTCATGACGTCGACGAGAGTGTAGAAATACTTCTAGCCCTGCGCCTTGAATCTAAACCTAAACAGCGCCAAACCGTCTCGTCATAGGCATCTCGGTCATCCTGCAGTGGCAGTCTCATGAAGTCTCCATTCACAGGAAGTTGCAAGACAGGCCACCCTTGCCCAGCGACTCCAAGACCTTTCGGTTTCCTGTAAATCTTTGACTAGTTTTGAACATCAGGTTTTCATAGTGTTACTTATTTGTTATAGTTGTACTATAACATCGCCCAACACCTTCTTGTTCTAGCTAGTGAGGCACCTATCTTGCGGAGTATACCCGAAACTGTACAGCTTTCCGGCGATAGTCACTTTCTCAGCAGGAGGTGCTGTAAGGGTTTAACATTGTTTAACAAGTGGTTTGCAGGGGTCTACCTCCATGGTGTTAACAGTTCTTGTGGCTTTTGGCATCGTTTTTTTGTGTCTTCAAGATCCAACTACACCCGAGACCTCTTCATAGTAGGTTCTTGCCCAAAAGAGCCCAAACAAATGCCAAATTGACCCAAAGACCGTCTCTAGATGTATGGCTTCCACGCACCAAGACCCCGGACAGGTGCGTCAGTGCCTACATCGTAGCAAATAGTGGCTGGACATGCGAAACTACCACTGTGGTCGGCATAGTGTGTAGCCGCCAAAAAACCACTTATGTATACTGTTTTGGCAAGGCCGCTATATTCAACCCTTAGGAAGGCATGTCAAAGGTGTAGACGTCTACCAAAAGCCTGCACTAAGCGCAATTGGCTTTCCAAGGGCCACCAACTACAACAGTAGATATACACTTTGGGAGCCCACATACCTACAACGTAGCTACCATATCCCTAAACCCTAAACCCTAAACCCTAAACCCTTAATACTTGGACCCTTTGGGAAAGATGCTATTTTTCTCAGTCCAGGCTTCCCGAAAGCTTGTGGCACCCGGAACGTCTCAGGTGGTTACGGGCGTTTTCTGTGTCCCAACTGCATTTAGATAGAGCCACAGGGCTCAGGGCCGATGATGGTTTGGATATGTTTTTCTTCATTTGGGGGTCAGGGCTTTCGTGGGCTTAGATGTCCGTTTGTCGCTCTTGGTTCACGGGGCTGAGTCCAACTCTTCCAAACTGCTGAACCAGAATGAAGAGCCAAGGGTTTCTTACAGCGCGGGGTCTTTTTGGGAAGCTCCCAAAAGGTTTGGAACCTCCTTGTGTCCTCAAATAGCGGGTATTTGATCCTAATGGGTAATTACTTAGGGTCCAATAGAGGGTACTTAACGGATCCTGGGACTTATAACCTTACTTACTAAGTCCCATGATACTCCAAGTATTGGAGGGTCCAAAAAGTTTGGACTAGCATCCTGTGCTCTTTGCAACCTCCAAGTTGCAAGTTTAGGGTTTAAGGCTTAGGGTTTAGCCCGCAAGCTTATGTCTGGGGCCTTGTACATTCTTCCTTTGGGCTCTTAAAGGAACATGGGACTTAGTAAATAGGGTTATAACTTAAGGTAACTATACTTATAACCCCAATTAGGGGACTTAGAAACCTTGCTTACTAAGTCCCATGATCCTCTAAGTACTGTAAGATTCTTATCGGCCTCTGGCAGCAGATCTAGAGCCTCTGCGTTTGTGAGGGGTTTAGGGTTTAGGGTTTTGGGAGATTTACACACATCGAATCCTCCACTCCAAACACGACCTAGCCCTAAGGGTCCAAGTACCTGATAATCATATCGTCTCCCAAATAGTAACCTACATAACTGCTATCCGAAACCTAAGTACCTGATTATTGGGTCCTTTGGACCCTTGGGGTAGAGGGCCCGAGTACCCAAACTATTGGGCTGTAGACTTGACTTTTACCCCGGTTAGGGCTTGGGATCTAACTGTGCGGGTCCAAGAGCCTTGCGAACCCAAAGGGTCCTAAGTACCTATATAATAGAATGTAGGGTTTCTATATTCGAAATTACTATTATGGTTTGGGTAAGTATTTCCGCATAATAGTACCTACTTTAATTAAAGGATCACGGGACTTAGTAAGTAGGGTTACAATTGAGACAGCCTGGTTTGGGTAAGTATCCCCATATAGGTACTTAGGACCCTTTGGGGAAGGTATTGCGTCAACCCTTTATTTGGCTACACGGAAACTAAGACACGGGGTCGGACTTCTGGTGTCGCTTCTGAGGGTGTACTTGGAGGATCATGGGACTTAGCAAGTAAGGTTATAAGTCCCCTAGTAGGGGTTATAAGTATAGTTACCTTAGTTTTAACCCTACTTACTAAGTCCCATGATCCTTTAAGTAAGTGTTGATTCTTCTTAAGCGTCAGCACTGTGCTGTATTAGGTGCCGTTAACCAAGTAATTATGAGTTTTCTGGCTGCATCAGTTTGTACGCGACCTCCTAAACCCCTAAACCGTATAAACCCAGGTTCCTGAGTGGTACCCCTTCTTTGCAATGTTCATTATATGGTTCCCTTATTTACTAAGGGGTCGCTAAACCCTAAACCCTAAACCCTAAACCCTAAACCCTAAACCCTACATGTAATGTTATTAAGGTTAGTCGCACCTAACCCGAAGACCATCTTGACGGCTGCGCTGGGGGTTTGGCAAGTAAGATCGGACCAGCTGCTGGCCTGCCACCACATGTATTCATATCGGTTTATGGTTCCTTAGGGTTTAGGGTTTAGGGTTTAGGTTCAAGGCTTTAGGGTCTAGGGGTTTAGGGTTCAGGGGTTTGTTGAGGTCTTCATCTTGAGAAGGCCGTAGGAGATTCAATTACATGAGAGTCTTGGCATTATCGTGGTAAAGCAGGGGTGAGTACTCAAACCAATACTCGTCATAGTCATGGAATCGTTAGTTCAAGCATTGTTGCTGTAGCCATGCAAGCGTAAGCAGGATCACAATATTATCATGTCTGTGTGTATATACACGTATTTTATGCATATCTACACATGGTTAGAGACTTTATATAAGTGTGTGTGTATATATATATATATAGTATATATATATATATATGTATATATATATATATACAGAAAATAA